ATACATAGCATACAACATACATACATAGCATACAACAACATACATAGCATACAACATACATAGCATACAACAACACACATAGCATACAACAACATACATAGCATACAACAACATACATAGCATACAACATACATAGCATACAACAACATACATAGCATACAACTACATACATAGCATACAACAACATACATAGCATACAATACAACAACATACATAGCATACAACAACATACATAGCATACAACATACATAGCATACAACAACATACATAGCATACAACAACACACATAGCATACAACATACATAGCATACAACAACATACATAGCATACAACAACATACATATACAACAACATACAACATACATAGCATACAACATAGCATACAACATACATACATACATAGCATACAACAACACACATAGCATACAACAACATACATAGCATACAACATACATAGCATACAACAACATACATAGCATACAACATACATAGCATACAACATACATAGCATACAACATACATACATAGCATACAACTACATACATAGCATACAACTACATATTCAAAGTAGCGTAGTGTCAATCCATTTCAAATAAACAGTAATACGGTAATTACTATTTGCGGCGAAAACGCCTTTTGTGTTTTTTAGGTTTATTAACAAAATCAACAGTGTGGTTTTTCAAATATCACAGTTAAGGGCAAAACGTATATCTGAGAGATACAAGAAAGGGTGCCACATTCCACATGAACCTGAAGGTAGTACCAAGGGTCGGAACACTAGGTTAAACTATATAAAGCATTTTAAAGATTTTAACAAGGGAGAAGAAAGTAAAGTTTATTACCTGGGTGAATTTACTAGACGGCCACCAAATTATTTGTGACTGTCGCAGATAATCACTTTTACTAATTAAACTTATGACAAAGTTGTTATTGTGATATTGCTGAGTGCGGCGTAACACTAAACTCACTCACTCACTGTTATTGTGAACTTGCGGTGATATTGTTTAGTTTGACAGAAGCCTCGATGATAAATGTGTACAATGGATGACCAGTTGCGAGTATGCCAGGAAGGTACATGTTGCACGCGTGAGATTTGACCACGGGATATAAAACATTACAGATAAACGTACTGCACCTTGGTTCTATTAGCTGTAGAGATACTTGGTCCCAGATTATGTCCGATGCTCGTTATCAATGTGACCTTTGCCAGGCTTAAGATAGTTGAACGTGGTCACTAATCTGTGATACTTCCAGTTTTCAATAACATATACCGTCATAAAATATTTGTTAAACTTTGTCACGATGGATTCGTGAACACCATGTCTCAGTGTGTACCAAGTATGTCTGTCTGGCCTGTTTCGTGTCCTGTTCTCCGTGACAGAGAAGCCCTAGCTTACGGCTGTTATCATTACGGTGAGCCCAACTGGTATGCTGATGACAGAGGTTGAAGACAGTACATGACTCACAGAGGAACGGTTACTGCCTTATCAGCCCTGGTGTATTCCAGATTCCGCGGTCGAGGAATATTTAGCAAAAAGTCACATTTTGTGAAGCCTCTGTGCAGTGCAGACCGATACAGAATCTGTCAAATACACTGCAGAACTTTAACATTTAATCGAAAGCTGATTTTAAACGTATATACGGATATTTATTCCGTTTTGTAATATCGCTTTCCGAAAGTGCATGGATGTATGTTTTCCCCAAGTAATCTCCTGTCCACGTCAGAACAGCAACCTAACCGGGGATTGGTTTCTCTTAAAATGCCTTCCACAAGTCAAACCGTCTACGAAGGTCACTAAAACTGTTTTGTTGCAGGATTGTGTACAGAATGAGTGAGTGAGTTTAGTTTTACGCCGCACTCAGCAATATTCCAGCTATATGGCGGTGGTCTGTAAATAATCGACTCTGGACCAGACAATCCAGTGATCAACAGCATGAGCATCGATCTGCGCAATTGGGAACCGATGACATGTGTCAACCAAGTCCGCGACCCTGACCACCCAATCCCGTTAGTCGCCTCTTACGACAAGCATAGTCGCCTTTAGTGGCAAGCATGGGTTGCTGAAGACCTATTCTACCCTGGATCTTCACGGGCCGTGTACAGAATGAAGAAACTTTGTTGGTAGAAATGAATTTCAAGAATTTGGCCACGAAATGCAGCTGGGACTGACATGGTAGGAGCCAATTAGCTCTACGAAACACAATGTTCCATTAACCAAATCCATGAGTATCAACTATGAGCGCCCAGGTTGTTGTGGCATGCGAGATTTGCCCCAGCCACGTGTTCATCTTCATAACCAATCAGTAATATCTAAATCAAATCCAGCAGTTGTCTGGTAATATTTATCCAGCATTAAGTTTTCAAATGCATTTCTACATTGTTTGTTTTATCTTTGTGATCTTTGATTCTTTGAAGAGTTTTTTCGATACACTCAACAACACAGTGTCATGACCACTTTTGTCACAAGAATAGTAATAATAATGTGTCCATTTATATAGCGCCAAACTCCACACTAGGTATGCTCATAGCGCTAACAATCAAGGCACAGCACATTATTACCCCGGATAACCCAAGCTGCCTGTTAGGCGCTAGAAGGTTATAGTCATATGACTTTTTTCCATCGGGTACCCATTTTCCTGCTGGGCGAACAGAGACAATTTTGAACAAACTCACTTGCCTAAGGTGAGACCACATGTGTCACATGTGCTTCGTTGTGGGGCGGTCACCCATCCAAGGACTCTCCGAGCTCGACGCTGCTTAACTTCACCGATTTGTGACCTATGACCACGCGCCACCACGTTTCCAGTGTGATCTTGACGTTTCCAGTGTGAATCTGAGTATGGTGCCATGGTTTAACTGGAATACAGTTTCACCTGAGTATGGGTTTTCAGCAACCCATGCTTGACTAACCGGATCAGACTCGCTGATTTGGTTGACACATGTCGTCGTTTCCCAATTGCGTAGATCGGTGCTCATGCTTTTGATCACTGGATTGACTGACTGCGAATTCGGTGTTAAAAAGACAAACAAACCTAAGTTTGGGATGACAACCTGAAGTGATGCAGGTCTCAGACGTTTAGCGCCGTGGTGAAACCCTCGATCATCGGCTTCTGGCGTGCCTAAGGGCCGTAACTCTGCTCAGGATATTGCAGCGCCTCAACCGACTAACCACCTGTGCCCCGGAGCGACAAGGAAAATAACGACGAGCAGCAGAATACTCTTTTGTGGAACAGAACTGTTAAATATGGTTATATGTATTCCGTACAATTCTGTATTTGCCAATACGATTATGTTAGTACGATGCAGGCTTTTCGAAATCCTTCGACAAAATCCTCCATCTGTTTGACTGAGTTTCGACTGTTATTAAGCTACGACTTAAGCAAGTACACGACAGTAGCACTGCTCAGCTTGGCAACCCGTTTAATCATACATGTAGTCATGAATCTTAGATTCGGTGTTAACATTGCATAGACCAGCGCACCTGTACATGCCCCTGATTCATGCCTGTGTCTGGAGCCATCAGGGCGCCTTGCCCGGGGCAGCCATGTAATATGAATGAAGACCAGCAGATCTGATCACGTCTACACAGCGCGTGCCGTGGCGCGACGTCGACGAAAGGGGTCAGGAAAGGTCAGGCGGTGCCGCGTTATCGCTCACCTCTGATTAATTCACTTTTATAATTCAGTGACCAGTCATAGTTGTCCGGACAATCCCTGCTCCACAGGTCAAGAGGGAGTTTGGTTGCTACGTCCTATCGAGTGTAAGAGACGACTAGTTAGCCTGTATTCAAATGTATCTGGTTGTAGATTGATCGGGGCAGTAGACAGGGGAACACTTCCTGTACATCGGGTAACCTGCCAGGAATTAATGGCAGTGTGGCCATGGCGCACCTTATTGCGCAAATCTGCTCGACGTAAGGATTGCTATATTGGGTCCGTGGTTGCTAACGGTAGAACTGCCAATTATAATATCTGGTGAATATTTTAATACATGCAGTTGTTGAGCAACATGTATAGTTTCCTATACTGGACTGCACAGCGACCCTAGCTCTATGGCTGTCGTACGGCCAATTGTAAACTAATATCTGGTGTTTGACGTGGATATACTCAATAAACTATAATAAAAGAATCCATGAGAAACTCAGTAATCGAGACTTGCTCAATATTTTAGACTTGTATTGGCTTCCTTGGCTATGTTTGTCCCAGGGTCTGTATGACAGACTAGTTCCATTGTTTGTTTCTGGTGTTTGCAATGTGTATGTGGTTGATTGGGTGACAGTTGGTGTAGTTTTACGACGCTTTTTAACATATCCCAGCAAAGTCGCGATATGGGCGACAGATACAGATTACTCACACTTATATCCAACATGGGTCCCCAGAGTAACGACCCAGGTCTCACCCCATCCCGTGTTTCGTGTTGGGTACTGGCTCGCGCTGTCTGTCTGGAGAATACATGAAATAGCGGTCCAAGTCTAGAATGATTTGGCAAGTCTAGATTGTCTCACCTCTTGCCAGAAATAAAGAAAATGTTCTAGTCTCATTTAGATTTTCTTTCTCTCTCTCTCTCTCTCTCTCTCTCTCTCTCTCACACACACACACACACACACACACACACACACACACACATATCCTAGAAATACAGTTATTTACAAATACACAACATATTTATATATATGCAGTTGTTATATATGCAAATAAATATGTTGTGTATTTGTAAATAACTGTATTTCTAGGACTAAATATTAGTCGACTGCTCGCCCACCACAGGTACATCCTGAAAGTAGGAATTAGGCTCAAAGCCAGAAGACATTTACAGGCAACTCTGTTTACCTTATCTACACATACTCTGCATCATAACAATCCTATGCCTGACAACACATTTTAATATCGTATTACATAGATATCCGAACAGAAACAGCAGCCAATCTTGTAACGCGATCTATGACAAGCATTGTGTTGACCTATATTCTGGTTCTGACCTATATGTGTGTTTGTTTCAGTTCGGCAATGCCACATTCAACAAGGGCCGGATAATGAATGCTGCCTTTAAAGAAGCGCTCAAGATATTTGACTTCCAGTGTGTTGTCTTCCATGATGTAGATCTTATACCTGAAGATGATAGGAACATGTACTCGTGTCCATGGCAACCACGCCACATGTCGGTTGCTATAGATGAAATGAACTATAGGTAAGTTGAAATTATTGCATGTGGATCATGCGAATATGTTATGTGCTGCTTCTACATCCTCGTGACCCAAGGGGAGTTATCTTGAAGTCGTGAATCGATACGATTAAGGAATTTAAAATGTCCTTTACGGTTTCTCAAGTAAAGACGCCGCTGTCTCATGGAATCTCGTATACATGTACATATTCTTGACCTTAATTGTATGTTTTGTCAATACATGATGTTGAATGTATAATTGGTGTCGTTCCATACGTTAAGGACCGAAATGATTAACATTCATGTGGTTTAGATATGTATAGGCTGTTCTGTCCTTTCTTTAGCCCAACACGACTAATGGGGATCGGGTGGTCAAACTCGCTGACTTGGTTGATGCATATAATCTTAGCCCACTTGCGTAGATCAATGCTCATGATGTTGATCACTGATCGCCTTGTCCAAACTCGATTATTTGCAGACTGCCGCCATATAGCTGGAATATTGCTGAGTGCGGCGTTAAACAACAAAAAAGAAAACGAATTGTGGTCTCAGTGTTCTGACACTTTGCCCCGACCCTTGTCGAAAGTATACCACTCAAAAGACGTTTAGGAACACAATCTATACTACTTTAGTTAATCTGTCATGGTAAGCTTTAATTTTTTAGAGCAGTATATACAAATCTCCCGACTGGCGCCGTCAAACTGGTTTCTTGCTAGCTGAACACGCTTCGAGTACAACTACATCACCCTAACACTTTTTCAGGTTAGACAGCTTATTTGAATGCGAATTAAAGCCGACGAAAGTGTCTTGTACGCTCTTTAGCTTGAGAGCAGACTTAAAATAACAACTCGGTAACGGTGTTAAAGACATTCCAACTGAAAGACCATTTACAGGTGGCGCTTCACGTCTGATAGAACTTGTTTTCCCATCCTAAATGTCTTTGCCCGGGGCCTTAAATAAATAATGTCAAATATCTCAAAGTCATGGTCGTTCTGTTCACACCCAGTCCTCTGCTGGAGCAAGGACGGAAATATTGGAGTGAAAAAACTCCATGTACATATTGGCTAGCGTCGTTTTAATTGATTAGAAGTGTGTTTGTGAGAGTGATTTTTTCTGCGTCTTACCGAAAGATATTGCCGTAGGGCTACACTTAGAATGTACAGGTTTTTAAACACTCCTCAACTCACTGCCATACTTGCCTAATGGATATGCGTTTTCACTTTCTGTTAGGTGACTTTTTTAATTGGGGAGCGGTGTAAGTTTTAATATTAAAAGATCTTAAGATCTATGAGTTTTCATTTTCATTAGACTGTATGACAATAGAAACTTCCCCAACTTTCCCTTCATGTCTAGATTAACGCTTAGTGTCTGAATATATATAATTTAGATAGTAACAAATAAACCCTTTAAAATTGAAAAGGAGCCCCAGTGAGATGGGAGATCGAACCTGAGGGAATATAGACTTGCAGGGAGAGTTGTGCTGTAGGGAAAATAATGTGGTTCAGGGACTGTGAGACTACTTCACGTCCAGCAATACCATATCACCTCCAGTCTCTGATGCTTGCATTTGCCGATTATTGACTTACATTTTGCTTATTCAAAGAGAGTCTCACGACTCTTATTCAAAAGTTGGTTAACGGGATTAAAACATTCAAGGCCTCAGTACACTTTTCAAAACGTTTTGTAGTGGAAATGTCAAGGACATTTACAGAGCTTACACATCAGAAACAAATATAATCTCCGATGCAGTTAACTATTTTGCCTTTTACATGTGAGTTTGATATTTGCTATCGTTTGAGCATGTTCGTGAACACCTGGTATCAGAACGTGGTAAAAGTGTTACTTCGGGCTTTCCTCCAACACAAACTACTCATACCGGGAGAATGAAAATAAGTTACATAACGGAATACTGTTCACACCGGCTTCAAGCTCACTCACTCACTCCAAATAGAAAGTGATATATTTAATGGTAACATTAGAATTATTAGAATTACATGTGTGTAGAATCAGTATACATAAGATGTATTCTTGCCAGAGGGCTTTACCAAGTACGTGATCAAGATGACCAGTTGTCAGACTTCCATTTTGTGGAAACACCGACGGCTGAGTGGGTTAGATGGCTGACTCTTCGTGCTGGTGATGGGTTGCACACTCCTGGCCTCCCAACACTTGGTTTCATTCTGGATTACTAATTAATGGATGGCAGAAACCAAATGTCAAATGTAAATTACCTGAGTCCAAATATTAACATAAAAACATTTCATTAACAACAAAATCGCAGTCTCGCCACGTGTGGTATGGTGTTGCCGGGATACCACGCTCACAGTTGAACTTCAAGTGAAATTATCGCAGCGCTAGATCGTCGGAAAAGGGTAACAAACATTCATGAAATAATGCAATTAATGGTGACAATGAGTTGTTCTTGTGAAATATTAGTGACGTCGTCTGATGTAAATTGAGAAGACCATGTCACAGCTGACAGATGTTAGAAGGACAGTTCCGTCGTACTGGAGCCGTAACACCGTAACATTCAGCCTGTTGGCGATACAGTGTGGTGGCAATACAGGATGGTGGTATTAACGGTACATTTAGTGTCATGGCGTCGGAAAACATTTTGACAGTTTGCCATTTGCTATTTCAAACATGCAATTGTAGTCTCTGTGTAATACATTCTTCACATGCTCATGATGACTGTAGGGAAACTGCCTCACTTGTTCATGATGATTGTAGGGTACTGGTTCCCTTGTTCATGATGGTTGAAGGGAAACTGTTTCACTTGTTCATGATGGTTGTAGGGAAACTGCTTCACGTGTTCATGATGGTTGTAGGGAAAGTGCTTCACTTGTTCATGAGGGTTGTAGGGAAACTGCTTCCCGTGTTCATGATGGTTCTAGGGAAACTGCTTCACGTGTTCATGATGATTGTAGGGAAAGTGCTTCACTTGTTCATGATGGTTGAAGGGAAACTGCTTCACGTGTTCATGATGGTTGTAGGGAAACTGCTTCACGAGTTCATGATGGTTGTAGGGAAAGTGCTTCACTTGTTCATGATGGTTGTAGGGAAACTGCTTCACGTGTTCATGATGGTTGTAGGGAAACTGCTTCACTTGTTCATGATGGTTGTAGGGAAACTGCTTCACGTGTTCATGATGGTTGTAGGGAAACTGCTTCACTTGTTCATGATGGTTGTAGGGAAACTGCTTCACTTGTTCATGATGGTTGTAGGGAAACTGCTTCACTTGTTCATGATGATTATAGAGAAACTGCTTCACGTGTTCATGATGGTTGTAGGGAAACTGCTTCACGTGTTCATGATGGTTGTAGGAAAACTGCTTCACTTGTTCATGATGGTTGTAGGAAACTGCTTCCACGTGTTCATGATGGTTGTAGGAAACTGCTTCCGTGATTGTTCAATGGTTGTAGGAAACTGCTTCACTTGTTCATGATGGTAGAAGGGAAACTGCTTCACTTGTTCATGATGGTTGAAGGGAAACTGCTTCATGATGGTTGTAGGGAAACGTTCACGTGTTCATGATGGTAGATGGAAACTGTAGGGAACGTGTTCATGATGGTTGAAGGGAAACTGCTTCACGTGTTCATGATGGTTGTAGGGAAACTGCTTCACGTGTTCATGATGGTTGTAGGGAAACTGCTTCACGTGTTCTTCACGTGTTCATGATGGTTGAAGGGTAAAACTGCTTCACGTGTTCATGATGGTTGTGAGGGAAACTGCTTCACTTGTTCATGATGGTTGAAGGAAACTGCTTCTAGTGTTCATGATGGTTGTAGGGAAACTGCTTCACTTTCATGATGGTGTTCGTGATGGTTGTAGGATGGTTGAACTGCTTCCCTTGTTCATGATGGTTGAAGGGAAACTGCTTCACGTGTTCATGATGGTTGTAGGGAAACTGATTCACGTGTTCATGATGGTTGAAGGGAAACTGCTTCACTTGTTCATGATGGTTGAAGGGAAACTGCTTCACGTGTTCATGATGATTGTAGGGAAAGTGCTTCACGTGTTCATGATGGTTGTAGGGAAACTTCTTCACTTCATGATGGTAGAAGGGAAACTTCTTCACTTGTTCATGATGGTTGAAGGGAAACTGCTTCACTTGTTCATGATGATTGTAGGGAAACTGCTTCCCTTGTTCATGATGGTTGTAGGGAAACTGCTTCACGTGTTCATGATGGTTGAAGGGAAACTGCTTCACGTGTTCATGATGGTTGTAGGGAAACTTCTTCACTTGTTCATGATGGTTGAAGGAAACTGCTTCACGTGTTCATGATGGTTGAAGGGAAACTGCTTCACTTGTTCATGATGGTTGTAGGGAAACTGCTTCACGTGTTCATGATGGTTGTAGGGAAACTGCTTCACGTGTTCATGATGGTTGTAGGGAAACTGCTTCACGTGTTTATGATGATTGTAGGGAAACTGCTTCACGTGTTCATGATGGTTCTAGGGAAACTGCTTCCCTTGTTCATGATGGTAGAAGGGAAACTGCTTCACTTGTTCATGATGGTTGTAGGGAAAGTGCTTCACGTGTTCATGATGGTAGAAGGGAAACTGCTTCCCTTGTTCATGATGGTAGAAGGGAAACTGCTTCACTTGTTCATGATGGTTGTAGGGAAAGTGCTTCACGTGTTCATGATGGTAGAAGGGAAACTGCTTCCCTTGTTCATGATGGTTGAAGGGAAACTGCTTCACGTGTTCATGATGGTTGAAGGGAAACTGCTTCACGTGTTCATAATGGTTGAAGGGAAACTGCTTCACGTGTTTATGATGGTTGTAGGGAAACTGCTTCGCGTGTTCATGATGATTGTAGGGAAACTGCTTCACGTGTTCATGATGGTTGTAGGGAAACTGCTTCACGTGTTCATGATGATTGTAGGGTACTGGTCCCCTTGTTCATGATGGTAGAAGGGAAACTGCTTCACTTGTTCATGATGGTTGTAGGGAAACTTCTTCACTTGTTCATGATGGTTGAAGGGAAACTGCTTCACTTGTTCATGATGGTTGTAGGGAAACTTCTTCACATGTTTCATGATGATTGTCGGGAAACTGCTTCACATGTCCACGATGCTTGTAGGGGAACTGCTTGACATGTTCACGATACTTGAAATGAACCTTGGCCAAGTTGTCAACATGCTTGATTGTAAGCGAAGATTGGTCGCTTGGCTAACATAAGTTAGGGAAAAGTGATTCCTATGTTTATCAGACTCCTAGGGAGCCATTTTCACGATATGAATTAGGAATATCAATTGCACCCATGTATTAAACCATCGATAAGTAACATGGGATGTGTTTACAACGGATGGTAGTCTATTTCCTAGACCAAACACACATGACCATCTGTCCGGCCTGCGGAGACACTACTACCACAACTATTTCAACACGAAACTCTCAACACATGGCGTGTCCAGCCTTCCATATTCTAAACACATGAGTCAGTATGGTTTTACGCCGCTTTCAGCAATATTCCAGCAATATCACAGCGGGGGACACCAGAAATGGGCTTCACACATTGTACCCATGTGGGGAATCGAACCCGGGTCTTTGGCATGACGAGCGAATGCTTTAACCACTAGGCTACCCCCACCGCCCCTCTAAACACACGAACAGATCAACCATGGGATGTGTGAACGGAAGGATTATGAATAGCAGTGTCACTTTCTGGTGAAAAACACGATCTATAGTTTCCGAGATAAGCGGAGATCGATAACCCAATAGAATGGTTCTTATTGCCTTGGAGCTCGGGTCAGTGCCCTCTGAAAAGAACGGTCCTCGATTGCATAGCAGTAAGGCCACTGGCTGTATGATTATGTTTTTATACGGTCAATTATAGTCACAGATAATTGGAGAATTAAGTACCCAGACTAGTGTCAAGCTATCCTCTCCGAAGGCAATACTCTGACGTTGATCACATCATGATTGTCGGATATATGAAATCGATATCTCGAACACCTTCTCCACACGTCAACCAAACAAAAGTCATGCTTTGACATGCATGTCTAGCAAATGTGGAAATGTAGACTGCCCGCTAGTACCTATATACCATTCAGGAGTACTCTGATATATAAGCCAAGGTGAAGGTCGTCAGTATGATGGTGAAGATCATGGATGATCTTGGCTTGATGTAATTTTGGTGTTTCTTCACCGTTGTGTCTGTGCGTGAGGTAAGGACATTAAAGCTTGTCATTATCTGTCTAAGCGGACTATCTTGATACCTAGTCTTGCTTGCCTCACATAATTTCCGGACGAGTCCAATGACATTAGCGTGTCTTGAAGACGCGCTCAGCTGCAGCTTGGACGGGAAATTAATGCCACAAAAAAGGCACAAAAACTCAGGCTATCTGTTTGCTACAAGGAATCGATCTTGGGGGTTTCAATTTATGTTGTCTTACTGACCGAACTGCTCTAGTTAAAGCGTCGTCTGCTCCTAATTTTGGCGGGTAATATTTCACCTGCTGGTCTCTCCTCTTGGTCACACTGACCAAACAAGACTATGTCACCCAGAAGATCGTACGGTTAAACATTACTTATTTGTTGGGCATGGTTAGAAATAACGTATGAGAGTTGGTTGAAGACTTGCGAGGTGTTTCCTGGTCTGCCGAGTTCGCCTAATGCGTAATTTTAAGCGCCCTCTACCGGGCGCACCTTCTGTGATGAGACAGCGGCAAGTAAGACGTCGCATTAGCTGTAGCAACGCTATGAACACTATTCGTGGTAGCTAACAAAAATGCTGACGCTATTCCTGGTAGCTAACAAACATATTCACACTGGAGCGGTATCAGCAATAGTGGCCCTATTCGTGGTAGCAGTAGCAACAATAGTGTCACTAGCATTGTCAGCTGAACAACAATAATAACAATTTGTTTACGTATTTGGAAATTGTCGCGATTCGTGGTAGACTGTAGCGTAAATTGTGATACTAATGTTTGTAGCTGTACCAACCATACCAACACGAGTTTGTGGTTGTTGCAGCAACAATAGTAGCCAACTTACACATGTAGCCTTAACAATAACATTAACCATAACACCAACTGTATCAACAACAGTGACACTATTCGTGGTAGCTGTAGCAACAATAGTCACACTGGAGCGGTATCAGCAATAGTGGCCCTATTCGTGGTAGCTGTAGCAACAATAGTCACACTGGAGCGGTATCAGCAATAGTGGCCCTATTAGCAATAGTGGTCACCTATTCAGCAATAGTGGCCCTATTCGGTAGCAACAATAGTCCACGCTGGGCGGTGAGCAATAGTGGCCCTATTCGTGGTACTGTGTAACAATAGCATCACAATAGTCACACTGGAGCGTTATCAGCAATAGTGGCCCTATTCGTGGTAGCTGTAGCAACAATAGTCACACTGGAGCGGTATCAGCAATAGTGGCCCTATTCGTGGTAGCTGTAGCAACAATAGTCACACTGGAGCGGTATCAGCAATAGTGGCCCTATTCCTGGTAGATGCAACAACAACATCAGTAACACTAGCTCTGTCAGCTATGTCAGCTGTAGTCGCCCAATTTGTGGTAGCTGCAACAACAACATTGACACTATTCGTGGTAGCTGTAGCTACAATAGTGACACTGGACCGGTAGTGGCCCTATTCGTGGTAGCTGCAACAGCAATATCAGTAACACTAGCTCTGAAAGGTGTGTCAGCTGTAGTGGCCCTATTCCTGGAAGCTGTGGCAACAACACTCGCAACACTCATGAAAGCTGTTGTTTCAGTTGTGATACAAGTTGCGATGGCTTTGACATATTGTACATGTTTGATTTTGTTGATATGATATTGATAATTTCCTGAAATGTATTTGGATTGTTTTCTTCTTTCAGGTTAAAGTACGATATATTAGTGGGAGGTGTACTCAATCTCCGTGTAGAACATTATCAAGAGCTGAATGGCTACTCCAACATGTACTGGGGCTGGGGCGCCGAGGATGACGATATGGCGTACAGGTAAGTACATGACAACGATGATGATGATGATGATGATGACAATTGTTGTAGTGGAAGCGTGGCTGTCGTGCTTATGACGATGTTGAGTGAGTGAGTGAGTTTATTTTTTCGCTGCTGTAGCAATATTTCAGCAATATAGAAGAGGGGGACACCAGAAATGGGCTTCAAACATTATATCCATGTGGGGAATCGAACCCGGGTCTTCAGCGTGACGAGCGAACACTTTAACGACTAGGCTACCCCACGGCCCCTGATTGAACTGTGACCATCTTGCGAGTCTTCCAGGGCCCAGTTCCAGTGGCGCTGAGACCACGTAACTACCGTGTAACATACAGTAACAGTCAGTTGTTTTAGAGCTATGATCGCTGTAGGCTTCTGGGATGGCACTCTTCAGTAACAGGATAATGTGTGGAACTTGAGACGGTTGAGATTGGCAAACTTTGTTCAGCGTTGCGTCCAAGATTTAATTGCATAGTGCATTTGTTTCGTTACAACTTTGTTATCAAACGCCCTTTAACATATACTGATAATAGACGTGGCGCTTCAGCAGTTTTGTTGATACTGCGGGGTCCCACTCCAGAAGGCGACATTCACACAGACTCACATACATACGCTGACTAAGTGCCACTATCGCTGTATGGATCGAACTGGCGTCTGCGGATGTTACATCCTCCATATATCTCCGGGGCTGGCATTCCGGTAGACCTGCACCCACACCTGTAGCCATTCCTGGGGGTTCTCGCGATCTCAAATTACCCGCTCTTGGTCTCCATTGGCTGGTTTGAATTGCTACACTACTCAATGTGACGGACAAATCTGAATGCGAGTTACACTGAAGGGGTCGTTGTCGGCACAGTTTCTTCAGATATGTACCCCAGGTACGTTTCTCTATACAGAAATGTACTCTACAGAAACGTACCGGTACCTAAACGGGGTACGAGTCCATATTCCGCAACCCTAAACCCAAACCGTATGTAGTTGTTCCCGTTCAACTGAGTGCGAGTGGTATTGTACATCGCGAAATATTTGTTACTGTGAATGCTCCTTTCACATATTACGCAATCAAATACATCTGATACAACAGTATGGGAGTTCCGATCAAAACTCTGATTTTGGCTTCGGTACGTTTCTGTATACACATCTGTAGTACACATCTGTAGTACACATCTGTAGTACTCGTGCCGACAACGAGTTACAATGAGTGAGTGAGTGAGTCAAGTTGTACTCAGCAATATATTCCTGTTATATTCCTGGGGGCGGTCTGTAAATAGCGCTAGTTACAAATCAGCTTCTATGTTGGGATGACGATATCAACGAAGTATATTGCTAACGATAATCCCACTGATAACAAAGATGCTTGCGAGAAATTCAATACTGGAAAACTGAAGGACGCGCAAGGAAACCATTTTGACAGAAAGGATGTCTTCATTCCCATTACAACTAGCGGTGGGAAGCCCTCCCTTTCTCATTTCCTTTCTTCTTATCTCGACGTTTTATTTGTTGTTAAAATGTCAGTGAAAGTAATGACGTGTAATCTGAGATTATGAGAACCACGGGAATGAATCCAAGGTTTGGTGTAGGCTTACCGAAATGCGAGACCTGGAGATAGACATGATGCGGATGTCAGGTTTATCCCGTCGTTCATTACAAGTCGTTCCGTTGGGATCCTGAGCTGAGACCATGCAGAGGGTCGGGTGGTCAGGTGACTTGGTTGTTTGAGTATAATCCTGCCCCGATGCCGTTGCTCTTAATATCGAGCATTGGCTTGAGTGTTCCAGGCTCGATAATTCATAGGCCGCCGTAATAATGTATGAATCTTGCTGAATGTGACATTAACACCAAGCACGCAATATTATCTGTACATAGACAATGTGACCAGTGCTTAAATGCGCATGTCCAAAAGTATGTAGATGATCTGTTGGTTTATATAAACATTCTGACCTCTGATCATCGTCCTTGTGCTTCTTTATGTCCGAAAAGGTGTGGACGTCTCTGAATTTGATTCTTTTACGCCATAATTTAACTGGCACTCTGTTAACTGAATGTCATACGGAACGATCGCACATCAGTTGGTGTTTTGTCGTTTGTGAAATGCATTGACGACACAGTGCTGTCATTCCAATGTCTCAAAGCCTAAAATAAACAATAGTTCTTAATGTCACGCCTACACTACAATGCTCAGTGTGTCATCTACGTGACAAGGCATTTCATTTAGTGTTTTTTTTCTCTTCCAGAATTTTACATGTTGGTTTTAAAATCACGAGACCACCATCCACGATAGCTCGGTATAAGATGATAAAACATCAGAAGCGGCGACCAACATCATGGCATACAAGGTAATTAACTTCCTTCTCCACAAGATTGCACGACTTTGATTCTTACACACAGAAAGTGATTGTATGGGGTATCTGGTAACCTCACTTCCTCATAGTGATTCATACACAGGTTTTTAACATTGTCCTCAAGTGGACGCTTCAGCCTCTGCGATGGACTAACGCTTAGTATCGGAATATCTATAAGTTTGATTGTAACAAATAAACCCATTTAATTTGATAAGGCTGACCGACTGACTGAGTTAGGTTTTACGCCGCTTTTAGCAATATTCCAGCAATATCACGGCGGGGGACACCAGAAATGGGCTTCACATATTGTACCCATGTGGGGATTCGAACCCGGGTCTTCGGCGTGACGAGCCAACGCTTTAACCACTAGGCTACCCCACAGCCTCAATTTGATAAGGAGCCATAGGGAGACCAGAGATTCAGCTGGAGAAATCTAGACTTGCTTCATTTTGGGCATTGCAGGGAGGGCTAGGCTATAGGGAAAATAATGTGGTTCAGGGATTGTGAGACAGACCTCTGAGGCACCACCGGTTCACTGTTGTGCCACATTTATGCAAATTGTGTGAATGGCGGAGGCGTCCAGTGAGACGGGCCATGCTTTACCTAAAGCGACTGACTGACTGACTGAGTTTAGCAATATTCAAACAACATCACGGCGGGGGACACCTGGAATGGGCTCCACACATTGTACCCATGTGGGGATTCGATCCCGGGTCTTCAGCGTGACGAGCGGACGCTTTAACCACTAGGCTACCCCACCGCCCCACCTTAAAGCGAGCGCTTGGTGCCATTGCCGAATTTTGGTAATCAATCGTATTATTTTCAACGCTAATTTGCCTTTTGTACCCAATGGAATCTATTGCCACGGGTAATCGAGTTATTCTGATGCGTGGATGTTTATATTTATTAGGGTTTTGAAATTGTGGAGTGTGGTGCCCGTGAACGGGTGAAATGGATATTCTATTCACATCAAATAAACTAAGCCATCACTAAAATACGTTCATGTTAGTGTATTTAAGTCTGTGTGTGTTGATTAGTGAGGCACATCAGCCATGGATAACACCATTATTATGACATAGGCCAGCTGTCACTATCGGCATTCGATACGAATAGGAGCAAAATTGGACACGTTTAGCTACAGTGGCAGATTATTTGTCATGTATACGTCTCTCGTATTTGTGAAATCGATATATCAATGTGATGATCCGATAATACAATAGCATTTGTACATTATCCAGTCCTAACTGCACACCCACCCCTTGCAAGTCGTGAAAGTCGGCCTGATACGTCGATCAGCAGAACACGAAACACTCATTTCCTCCATGCACTGAGTGATCGGGTGTTTTGTTGCACTCCTGTAGGAAGCCACTCAGAAGTGGTATTGACGGTTTATTAAACCACTGGTTTGATTCTTTTAAAAACCAGAAATATAATTTTTATTTCAAATGCCCTAACAGTAATTAGAATTGACAACGTTATTACATCATGGAAAACAGTGCTGTTGTATTGGCTCCAGCGGAGCTTATCGCTGGAGTTTTCTGTAACGTTAAATCAGTTGTTATCATATTGGCTGTGGGTTAATCCAATGGAAATGGCGTTGATTGATCTATGAAGACGACAACTCCAGTCGTATGTACACAGAGCCAGCCGTAAATATCTTCAGAAACGGTTATGACGAAAGTTAATTATTACATTGCTTTGATCTGAATATTTGGATATTGCTATATTGAATTAAAACAAACATGACAATATTACAAATATTATTACCAAGCAATACATTACGCTCACATGACTTGTTCCAATACCCCGTGGGAAAACCGGCGTGTAGGGCGTCTTAATAGCTTTTCACCATACCCTACCTGTATAGATCGATGCTCATGACATTAACCACTGAAAGTCTGAGTTATTTATAGATCGCCACCATATTGCTAACTTCCGCGTTACAGGGAGGCGCACATGCTCGCACGCACACGCATACACTTGCCTTCATTTCCCATCACTCTTTACAACATTCGGTTGTAAACCAGCTAGTTTTACCTACTTTGTCAAACGTAGATCATTAACTGTTCCATATGAGAATTCAGTGCCGAAAATTGGGACTTCTAAGTTGATGGCAGATAGGCCTCTGCACACAAAAAAGCATCCGGGTTCGACTCGGGTTATGTCCGAGGTTCGGGTCGTGTTTGGGGACAGTAATCTATCGATTGGAAAGACAACACTGACGATATCTGGTGTCTTGGTGGCCATAGTGCGTTTGTCGAAGACTGAATACCACTGAGAGGATGCTGTCACTGACACGGTCTGCTTGCTGTTTTGTCATGGTCACTGGCCGTACTGCCATTTTCAGCTGACATGGAACGACAAAATAATACTCTGTTTAGATATTTACTGGCTGTAGATGTAGTCCAGTCTTTGGAACTTGGTTATCGGAGCAGTGGGCCTTGGTTACCTGGTGCAGTGGGCCTTGGTTACCCGGTGCATTGGGCCTTGGTTTTCCGGTGCAGTGGGGCCGTGGTTAGTTGTTACAATGTTGGCCTTGGTTATCTGGTGGAATGTTGGCCTTGGTTATCTGGTGGAATGTTGGCCTTGGTTATCTGGTACAATGTTGGCCTTGGTTATCTGGTGCAATGTTGGCCTTGGTTATCTGGTGGAATGTTGGCCTTGGTTATCTGGTGCAATATTCGTCTTGATTATCTGGTGCAATGTTGGCCTTGGTTATCTGGTGCAATGTTGGCCTTGGTTATCTGGTGCAATGTTGGCCTTGGTTATCTGGTGCAATGTTGGCCTTGGTTATCTGGTGCAATGTTGGCCTTGGTTATCTGGTGGAATGGGCCTTTGTTATCTGGTGCAATATTCAATTGATTATCTGTCTTGGGTATCTGGGTGCAATGTTGGCCTTGGGTATCTGGTGCAATGTTGGCCTATCTGGTGCAATGTTGGCCTTGGTTATCTGGTGCAATATTCGTCTTGATTATCTGGTGCAATGTTGGCCTTGGTTATCTGGTGCAATGTTGGCCTTGGTTATCTGGTGCAATGTTGGCCTTGGTTATCTGGTGCAAAGTAGGTCATGGGTATCTGGTGCAAAGTAGGTCATGGTTATCTTGTCTAAGGTTGGCCCTTGCTATCTGGTGCAATGTTGGTCTTGGTTATCTGGTGCAATGTTGGCCATGGGTAACTGGTGCAGTGTTGGATTTGTCTACCTGATGCAAGGTTAATCTGAGACTGTGGAAAGGCCATGTCATATATACTATCGAGGGCGTTGTGTTCTTTACGCACCAGGTTGCACCTGAGATTGTGTTGACTGCTGTTCAAATCACACAAGCGTTCTCTTCATTCTGATCGACGTGTACCTCCTCTTCTTCCAACGATGCCACAGTATCGTGACAGTTCTTATTTCACGTGAAGGTCATCTTGAGGTGATGAGCATTGCCCATCCGATCAGCTCCCGAATTCAGGTACAGCACAAGTACAAGACGGCTACCATATCACAAGGCACACTGTCTGTGACTTCCCAGACTCCTGACATCGACTGAGGAGCATGTTTGGTAGCCATAACGCAATAAAGCCGTTAAGAGCCTAGGGTTTAAGCGATCCAAGCAACTCTTTTGGTCACATCGATCCAGGCGGAGAAGTGTTTAAATCACTTAGGTAACTCCTCGGTCTGCCCACACGACATCACGGCAGCCATTTCTTCACCGATAACCGCCTTTTACTGCAAACCCTGCGCTGCGGAACCGTTTCTTTACCGACAGCAACCCCTGGACCCATTACTTCAGCTGTGTTTGTGTCAACAGGAAAACGCGATATTTGCATAATTAGATCCGTGGTTTATAGTAGTCGGTTTACACAGTTTTCAAGAATGTGGGATACAGCTTTGTAATTTGTCGACTGCAAAACGTGGATTTATTGGCACTTGCAGTGGTTAAAGGGGATGTGACGGGCACGACATATTGATCCCTGGTCACGCCATACAACTAGCAACATCTCCCTCGGGCTGTAGATCGGTTCCTCAGTTACTTGAGACCAGTTGGCGTCTGTTGAAGAGGCTGGTGATTGGCCCCGGGGGGAGTCGTATCCCTGGTGGCACTGCACCAGGGGCAAACCATTGAAACCTTGGGCTTCAACTGATCGTTTTGCCGCTGCTGGTTTTTCCCACGGTTCTGATTCGTTGAGAGACCATAAAACGACGACACGTCAACGTCCGAGTGTTTCTGACCACTCAACGTCACAATGCTGAGAATCTATTGACAGGTGTTTAACGATACCTTCACTCTCAACTGGTTATTGTTTATTGTAAATTATTTGCATTTAAATCGTCCCATGTATTAAGCTATATAACAGGAATGTCTCAATATCAGTAATATTTAACAAATACTGAATATTTGTAAATTGTCATGCAACTCGGTCGAACTGACTGTCATTGTTCTGCAACAGACTGGCTGTCTTAAAAGGTAGTAAGGCTGAAGGGGTCGTTGTCGGCACAGGTACTACAGATACGTACCCCAGGTACGTTTCTGTATACAGATGTGTACCCTAAACAAAGTAAAAATACAGAAACGTACCCGGTACCCTAAAAGGCGGGCGATCCGTCCATATTCCGCAATCCAAAACCGAAACCGTATGTAGTTGTTCCCGTTCAACTGATTCCGAGTGGTATCCATGTGCATCGCGAAATATCCGTTACTGTGTATTCTCATTACTTTCATAAAGCAATCAAATGTATCTAATACAACAGTATGACAGTTCCGGTCAAGAATACGACACAATGGGAATGGAATCGTCCTAGGGTACGTTTCTGTGTTCTCATTATGGCCAAGAAACGTACCTGGGGTACATATCTGTAGTACCCGTGCCGACAACGACCCCTTCAGCGGTAGTAAGTCGTACTTCTAATGGACAGTTAAACCGTGCGCGCATACAAACACACACGCACGCACGCAGGCACAAACACATGATGAGATGGCTACACGTCGCAGCTTAAGAGCAATAATCGTGACCGCGAAATTAAACCCATCTTCCAGCCTCATCATTGTTGAAGTTAACGGACATATCGGGAGGATAGAATAGATTTCCTAAATGTCAAATCTATTTCACATTAGTGTTATAATATAAAATGTAAAAAAACAAATAAATACGTTTTACCACTACGAGCAACAAGAGGACGGTGCGTGCCATGCATTGAGGAAAGGCTGTACCGTGAATACTCGAGTACTCGAGTAACGTAATCACTACCGATTCTTTCAAATTCGTGACTTTTAGATGTCAAGACTCATTTCCTCAGTCAATCAGTGTGTCTACAACATCGACTCCTGTGCCGCTTCGGGGAAAGAAAAACAATGCCAGCTTTAGAAATCGACGCTGCAAATACATAGCTTCAGTTACCGCTCTATTTTGTATTATGACATTGAGGAACCGGAGGCTCCACACAACGCGTTTCCGTAATGGCGCGCTGACTTCACGAAATCGCGCTCAGTGCTGCGAACGTACTGTTTTGACACGGGATTATAGTATTAACTTTAAACGTCAATGTGTACTGAATAATCGCTCATAATCTAGCTTCTCTACCCAATTTACCTGAGAGGCGAGTGCCGCCTTGTCTACAGTGCGAGGAGTTTGAAACAAGACACGCGTTATGAGTTAACCGAGATTAATGTAATTGCTGACCTGTGTGGCTGAATGATCGCCCGAGTTAACCGAGATTATTGGATTGTAAGATCGATTTGAAAGGTCTTAGACGGCGATCGTGAATAGAATAGTGTCGCTACCGCCGAGTGCCAGTGGCCAAATTGTTCACATGCGCGCAATGAAAAAATAATTGAATGTTTTTAGAAGTTGGAAAATTGAATCGTGTATAAAACAGGTGGCTAGTTCTGAATTAAAGCTGTCAGACTCTTCTTTATGTGGAGGGTGGAGACATATTAAGTTTATCCCCTGAAGATAAATGGAACGTACTCGTCTAAGTCGCTGCATTTCGTTGTTGCGTCCCTTTATTGAGCCAGGATCTGGTGACTCTGTGTCATAATGTTCATATAGTCACCACTAGCTTCAGTATATACCCGAGACTGGTATTCTCTGACGCTGGTATTCTGGTATTTCCCGATAATGTAAGTTTACCTTTCCTGTGTCAAGCTTGAATTGTGTTCAGGATCAATTATGTAGGAGTGTTGACGGGTTATAAATGAAAATAAGATTGATTATTCAATTGAAAGGAAATGTTTCATTGCGTGCAATAATTAATTATCCTTTCACACGCTATACCTGTACATGTTCCGTACTGTCCTGGCCCCTGCGATGGAGGGTTCAAACACAGAACCAACCTGATTTTTAACCCTGATTTGTCTGCACCATACCTGTCCTGCGAATTCAAGCATATCCTACGTGATACAATCTTGAGGTTAGCCTTGCTCCAAGGCTGTACCGAAGGTTAAGCCCATGCATTTATAGTAATTCTATCCTTTAAAGAGGCAAATCCAGATAACCTGACAGTTTTTTATATAAGCCTCTAAGGACGCCTGTCTGTTAGAGGGATATTAATATTTTTATAAATTATCATTTAAACTATTAATTATTATCTTAGAGACTTGTGCATGTCTACATTGAGTTGATAGGCAAGGATGTTACTGAAATGCTGGTCAAAGCTACGTCAGTGTTCACCCACTACATCTTACTGCATGGAATAAATACCCTGACATTTTAACTTAGCCATCATGTTTTTTAATGTTGATTCATATTTATATTAAGTGTATATAAGATATAACGTACACGTGTTATACAGGAATGTGTAGAGGAATCCCAGAATTGTATGTTTGACACCTTTTACAGATCTGGCACCAGGGATAATCTACAACATACGTTGTAAAGTCTCCCTGCTGGCACCATCATGTTAAAGTCTTCTATAAACATGACGCAACAATTTATGTCCTAAATCACAAGAAGTTATTGACATTGTCCATTAAAAGAAATGCCTTTGAAAAAGTCCTTTAAGGCAGAGATTATGTCAAGACCTTTTTTGTATGTCATATTTTCCTACCTTCTCTACTTGTGGTGTTGATTACCATGTCCATTTTACACATTGGCAAATGCATGACAACATCTCCGTAATGTAGATCTCAAGCGTTATGTCAACATGCAATATGTTATTATCAATTCTGTCTGTTTCAGGTCGAAACTTCTCCACACGGCCGTGAAACGCTACAAGATGGACGGTCTAAACAGTGTGAGCTATACACTGATGTTTGTTCACGACGAAAGACTGTTTACACACATAATGGTGGATGTTGGAAAGCCTTGACGATGTTTTGTGATGTAGGTAATTCATGAGGCCTTCATTCACGTGTGACCTCTCAGGTCAAGGTCAAGGTCGAGATTGCTGTCCTTATAGCCACAGTGACTGCCACTCTGTAAGGACACGAGGAATGTGAATGATCCAGGGAATAATAATCAGGAACGAATATGATCGGACGTCAAGGTCAAGGTCAAGGCCTTAAAAGAATTGTGAAATGTGTGACTCGTTGTGTGATGACAGGTGAAATGTATTCATTAAGGCCTTTGCAGTATTTTTGTGTGAATGCGAGATGAAATCCTGACATAATCAGAGACAACAGAACATAATCCCGAGACAGAGAGATGGATAAGGATGGAGGAAAACATTCGTGGGCAAATGTACCCATCTGGTGGACAAACTGGCAGTGGAATGAGGTATTCAATATAATGGACGTCACAATGAGTGTCAGAGTGATGTCACAGCCCTCTCTTTGTGATCATGCCAAACATCTCATGCATTAATTTATTCAAACAGCTGATCCAATGCAATGAACCAAAACACTTTATATCGGTGGTGCATACTTATCATAATTCTGGTGCAAATGCGACTGCAACTGCAAACATGTGCGTGTCTGTACGATGTGTGACGTCATGCTCGCTGTGATGCCTGCCGGGACGGTGTGTACTGTCATCATGGTGTACTGTACTCAGGTGTACTGCTTGTCGATGTAGGCATCAGTGCGGACTGATCAAAACAGTATTTAGAAAGTTTGATTTCTGACATGAGATCCCATCACTGGGTGGGAGATGGTGAGAACGTTTTGAAGATCCAAACAATTAGTGTTCGGAAACAGCATAATCAAGGCTGTGTGTTCCAAAAAACGCTGAAAACGTGGGTGGGTTGATTGGTCGTTGATCAGAATTGTTTGTGACGGGTTTTTTCTGTGACGTGATATCGACCTTGTCTGTTACTTCCTGTCTGCTGGACTTGGTAACGTCATGTACATTTCACAACCTCCAGTACGTGAAATATGTGACAGGAACACTGCCACTGACAACCCTTACGACCTCTTCACACCCGAATGATTGGCAGGTGCGTGTTTCAGTCTGTCAGCGGCATGCGCTGTCGTTGGTGAAGACAAACAGACACAGCTGGTGGATCCGCTATCGTCAAGTATATCGCCTACTTTACACAAGATTGACAGATGCGAAATCAGCAGGAGTCAGTTTCAGGGAGGGAAGCATCACTTGAGGCTTATCTTCGTTTACCAGCATAACACACTTTGATACTTATTTACAGTTTTGTTTCCAACTCTTATTTATGCGAATGTGTGGTTTGGGTGTGACGTCATTATATCAATGTGCCAAATTTGGGAATGCCTAGTCAAACCTGCTTCCATAAGCATTATATTTCTTTTTTCCATTACAACCAAAATATCCGGATACAATCGTCGGGTACAAATATTCAACATGAATCTCGATAATGAATATGTAATCAAATATCTAGTCAGCAAGCTTTTTAACAAAGGAAAATGTATATTATTGTTACGTATTCTTCACTACATGTTACAAACAATTGATCAATATTGCTATCCATCTTCGTACTGACAGGGTATTTTTCCCTTGTTGCAACCTGTATCATGTGATCAGTGGGCAAATATTGCTGATTAGTACACCTGCTAAATCAAATACACTGTATACACACAATAACATTGTATTAATTAAACACACATGTTGTAAACTGAAATATCAATAATATTCGTCACTTGGCTGGTAATTTTGTCCAAATGGTCTTGCTGTTCAAGACATCTGTTTAACGTATTTGTTGTGTTATTTTAGGCCAATCTTATTAATCGATCCGTAGCAGGTGTCAAACAAGTAATGTATCCTATGTTATATGGAAAGAGTGCAATGTACACTGTTGCTCATTTCACGTCATGAACACGTGCACGAGATTGTCGTGAAACCTCCTGCTATGGCTCTTATATAGCAATCATCACAACGGTTAAAGAACATATTGACCGGGTCCCATTGACCAGTGATCACTTTTACCAGAGTCTAGCGGTTTTACTGCCACGGTTTTTTAATATATAATTTTAAAGGAATTATAAGGAATAATTCGTATTTTAACAAATTAAATGCTTAATACGACAAATATACGATTGCTGCACACATTTCCTAACACTCACTAAAGTGACAACTACTGTCTAGCATCATCCTTCAGTTCAACAATATACACTTTGCATTAAAGGTTTGCTTTTTAACACGAATCATGAAAATATATATGTGATGGTTTCGTTGAGTTATGACAACATATTTCCGCTTTGCTATTAAACAGAAACCTTCACCATTATTTCTACATGCTTATGATTCATCACAGATTTGTTTTGACAAATAATCCTATTCCTGTGTGTGATCTTATTTTTGTTTAAAATCAAAGGATCTGTGTTTGGTTGGAATGTATGTGATAAGTATACATATCACATATCGCCATACGGTGTGATCAGTCATTTTATGCTACAACTCATCCACGTTGTACACTACAAGAGTCACGGTTGTATATACCAGGTGTTGTACTGGTGTGTATTGTTGATTGTTATATATCAAACATACCTGTGAACGAGGGAGGGCACGGAGGATGTATGTTATGTGCCTTACCGATGACACATGTACATGTACATGCGCTATTAACACTATCTTATTTCAGATTTGATTGACATTTGTGCTTGTGCCAATACCATGTAGCAGGTATATGTGGATGCGGCAGTATGTTGAATTTGCTAATGGCAATATTTGACATCAAACACGACTCACTGGGTCAATAGAAACTTATTTACCTGGCGTGGGGAGGAAATCTCTAATATTGGTGAGTGATTTGGTGTGACGCTGCTTTCAACAGTATTACGTTATATCACGGCGTGTCTGTTTCGTGGGGGAGGGAAGCCCGAAGTGATGTAGATATTAGATGAGGAAACCCACGAGCTCGGGTATGGTGCTGACTGACCTAGAGACAATATCAGGGAAAATCGTGACTAGAAGCACGTCATGGGTTTCTGGCGTGCTCAGAGACGCAACTCTCTCGACCGAAATGCAGCGCTTTAGACAACTAGCCTTCAACGTCCCTACTTTAATTATGACATTAGTGGTATTTTGAATCAGTGTAAGAGCAAGGCCCAAAGCACCTCAGAAATGAGGTGTTGTCATTGTATGATTTTCTCACCTGGAAATAGAGGCCGTGTCGATTGTACATGGTCACACTCTGTTATGTGTTAGTGTGATTTGATCATATTTCATTTATGGCCGGCAGTTTTTGATGGACCTGTGTGAAAGTTAACACATCTGATGTGATACAGCAATCATTTTAACGCATCAGAATATTTCCTGCGATCGTTTGAAAACTCCGCTTGATATTCGTTTGATGGAATTAGAAAACACATGCATGAGTTAACAAAATGCTGGTTTCGAATCCCCAAGAGAGTTTCTTGTAAACGGGTCTAAAATGTTAAAATTCCCCCGCGGACCAGTTAGCAAATGTAATCGAAACGTTCATTACTGGTAATAGTTGTTATTGCATTTTTGTTGATCAGTTGGTCACGATGACATTACAGTCAGATCGTGTAAGATACCACTCTCCGTGATCTGACAATCTCCGGTTTCATTTCTCTACCACTCAGATTCGAGACTTTCAGCAAAAGAAATTACAATTTATTCGTTAATACTCCCTTTGGGTGTATGGGAACGGTTATTTGATGGACCAGCCGCTGTTATGCACATGGAAAGTGTTATTAATCGCATACGTTCTTTTTCTTAAACAAATATGAAATGCTTGGTGAATGCTTAGGCCATTCAATAATTCATTATCCTCGACTCTGTTTTGAAAGTTCAGCTGGGTGTAAGATCATCTTATTGGGGCAAAAGATCTGAACTTTATTAGACTGAAATTATCACGTTTTAATAAAAAGATACAGATGTTTTGTGTTGATTGACAACGGTGTTTAGATATGTCTGCGATGTGTACTATACATGCCATTACATTGGGAGATAATTCTGCATAATCTGAGAAACAGCTGTATGATGATCGTTCGCTCCTGCTGCCCGATAGGTAGCCAAATCAGTATGTATGTTCTTCAGACATTTTCAAGATCTCAGCATCTAGTCAAACTGTTGTATAACTCTGTCAGGAAATATCTATCCAAGTTGCAAGTTGTATGTAAAACGGTACGGAAGCCATTTAGAGTCGTTTCTACATTATCTGGAAATTTCAAGATCCCTATCCTGAAATTCCAATTTAGTATTGCAAAAGAACAAGAAATGGCACTGAAGGGCTTTCGTAAGTTATGTTATGAAGATCATAGTGTTTTACAGGTGCTCGTTCTTGAGGACATCGTCACTGGGCCCTGTTTAGCCCGACATCGTTGTGAGGTGACTCATTGTACGCGTGATCCAAGAGCAGTCAGCTGTGAATGTACCAGAGCGTGCGGGTCTTACTGCAGCATACCAGTGTGTGAAATATCACAGACATGAAACAGTAGCATATCGGTGATCATCATAATACTATCTGCTATAATATAATACCTTTGTTTGTTATCGTGTAATCGATGGACTTTAATGGCATGGCTAATGATCCAGGATGCAACCATCTTCTTCACGGGTTGTATTAAGTGATTGGATGTTCTACAGTTTTAGTCACAAATGTTTCAGCTATATCACGATGTCCTGTAAGCAATTTAGATTTGGGAAGGAAGTATTTCAGTCCTGATTGCTGGAGTACATTAATACCTTAACAGTTACAATGTGTCGCCTCATTACATGTCGTGAGCTACACGGGGCTCTTCACTTCAGCGATGACACTCAAATTTTACGTTATTCTTATACAGTTCGTGAACAGCAAGTCTTTACATGACAAACTGCTTCAGGTGTGATGTTTTCACTTGTTAAAGCAAATTACAATAATAAACACGCTTTGTATACATTGAACAATGCTGCTATAGTATATAACTATGATTATTATTCTGTCATATTATGCCATACCAGGAACGATAATGCTAACCAAGAATGGCGTGTTCGTTAATTTCTTCTTGGAAAAGCGGAACTGCAACACAATCAATTATGACATTTTATATATAAAATAACTCTTTATTTGACATGTTCCGATTTTCTGTTCACGAAATGTTTCTCTTGTCGAAAATGTTCACTGAGGTTCCATGTATGCGCCTCCGAAATGGGGAATTGCACATCATAAAAGGGGAAAATGAATGCTTCTATATTTATGTTGCGCCTGACAACCTCTCATCACACTACATGTTAGCGATGCGATTATCTGTATCTTGGAAGGTTTCTTCACGGAATTAGAAATGTTTTTAGAAATTTATCGAAAGTACTCAGATCCTTATTATCAACATTCAAGTATGTATATACTCACAAACACGTCTCAGTGGTAACGTTAGCCTTATATATATAAACATGGAAGAATTTAATGTTAGTTGATGTAAATGAACACAGGTTCATGGAACTGGAAGACTGGAGAATGCTTCTTTTATACTGGCAACTAAACGGCCACAAGTGTGTGCAGGGCATCATACATCTAGCATGGTGGGAGGCTTGTGATGGACACGAGAGTGTCGTGATACAGAACTATGCAACATTAGAACACGTTGTCTTTCCTAGGTATTATTGTATACAGGAATACTCTGCCCCATCGGAACCTGTAACTCCTCCATGTCATACTGCAATAAATCATTCACGCACTTTAGTGTTTCTTGTCTACACTTTGTCGACTCCTGCCGCCTCCCGCGGGTATAGGGTTGTGTTGTGACATCATAGTGTCACCTTGGCGTCTGGATAGATCGTCTTATAGAGGTACAGAGTAAAGGATTCCCATACACCTCGACGACGTGAAAGTGCCAGTCCGTGACGGCTAGAGTCCAGTTTTATAACGGTAGCGTGAAGGGAATCAAGACTCTGGTCCAAGGGACATAACTCTATTTCGCTTACACTGACAACACAAGTGAAATAATTCACTCAGATACATACTATAAAAATTATGACTATTATTTTTTCGGGTTATGTTCATATCATTAATCAAAATTACTGAAGAAGTAAAACAATGTGTAATTTCGAACGCACTACTGTCGAGATACATGCAATCAAAACTTACTTGCTTTAGAGTGGCGCGTCCTGATTAATTCCTAATAATTTCCCTTCTTTAATTTAAGTTGATAACGCCACATATTAATGTTATGTTTTATATTCACGTTTTATGCATCATAGTCTTCTCCGTTTAAACACATTATGACGTAAATATAACGCACGTTACAAATTACACCCACACAAAGAGAGAAAGAGAGAGAGTTCACCCAGGTAAATATGTACACGCTTCGGACGCATGTTTGCGCAACTCAGGCATACATACACTCACAGCTCAAATGTATACATACAGAAAATACATACAAACACACAAGTACACACACACGCATACAGAGCTAAACCGTTCATCCATGACCTAGCCATATCACACATCTCAAAGATACACAAGCACACAGTTCAAACACACACATAGATATCTAAACCCCCCCCAAGCGTACACAGCTACGGCACACATGCACGCACACATATATAGCTAAACCCCTCAAGCGTACACAGCTCCGGCACACATGCACGCACACAGATATATAGCTAAACGGCACACTTGCACCGCACACATATATATATATATAGCTAAACCCCTCAAGCGTACACAGCTCCGGCACACATGCACGCACACATATATATAGCTAAACCCCTCAAGCGTACACAGCTCCGGCACACATGCACGCACACATATATATATCTAAACCCCTCAAGCGTACACAGCTCCGGCACACATGCACGCACACATATATATAGCTAGCTAAACCCCTCAAGCGTACACAGATCCGGCACACACTTGCACGCACACATATATATATAAGCGTACACACCCGGCACAAGCACACACATATATAGCTCCCCTCAAGGCACACATAGCCTGGCACACATGCACGCACACATATATATAGCTAAACCCCTCAAGCGTACACAGCTCCGGCACACATGCACGCACACATATATATAGCTAAACCCCTCAAGCGTACACAGCTCCGGCACACATGCACGCACACATATATATAGCTAAACCCCTCAAGCGTACACAGCTCCGGCACACATGCACGCACACATATATATAGCTAAACCCCTCAAGCGTACACAGCTCCGGCACACATGCACGCACACATATATATAGCTAAACCCCTCAAGCGTAAACAGCTCCGGCACACATGCACGCACACATATATATATCTAAACCCCTCAAACGTACACAGCTCCAACACACACACATATAAACATGAACGCGACTTCTCACCCACCAGATACGCACAAATATATCTAAACCCCACAATCGTACACAGCTCAACCACACACGCACACACTCTCTCTCACACACACTCACAAAATTAGCTTAGTTTGTCCCACACAGCGCAACTACAAACATGCAACTTTATATACACACCGACCGCACACACATACCATCAGCTCTGCCATACAAACACGTAGCTGAACCGTGTACACACATGCTGATGATGTAATTGATAATGTTTGTCGCATGACTGCCACTGTCAGCTATCAGTAGAAGCCTCGTCAACAGTGAGACGGTCATCTGGAGAATGACACGGTGCAACAGGAAGGATGCCTTACACCTATGGTCGTTGCCATGGCTTCTGTGATAATTGTGTATTTAGCAATACACCTCTACGTTCATGAAGTTGTGTTGTTGACTTTGATTTCCAAGACGATGATGAGATAATCAAATCAATGCCACTAAAATGCTGTCTCTAATGGTGTCTAGCGCAAGCTGCCTTTTGGATAATATTTATGTTTTGTGGATTTTGTGAACGTTTAAATTGTGTCAGTAACAACTCTGCGTGCCTCATCAGATTTTTATAGAACACATGATATGTTTTCCCAAATAGGTCTACCGGGGAAGGCAACAACCCGAAGATGGAAGGTATATACACAAAGAACTTAATTAGGCACCACCTGTATTTTTGCAGTGATAGGTTTTCAACACGTACATGAAACTTCTCGCGGTGACCACGATGGAAAAACATTTGTTTTTCCGACCCGTACGATCCTTTTACTCATAATAATGACTGGAATCCATGTTGATGTTATAAAGATAATTGCTCATTTTTTTAAAAAGCCACTGATTTTCATAAAAAAAGACGTCTGTACAAGTATGGCCCTGCAATGTTTAAAGTTGAATTTATTGTTGAATGTGAACATTCAAAATGCTATTTTGCGTCTTACACGATCCAAGGTCAATACCGAGTGTAACCTCTATGTAACTGTATGACAGCCATCACTCTCCTCCTCATACCCCCTGTCAGCCTCCTGATCCTCTGCAGGGGCAGTCTACGCCATTCCTCGTGTAAAGCAGCTTCCAACTGGGCCAGGTTCTGTACAGGAGGGTCCCTCTGTTGAACACGACGACCAATCATGTCCCAGATATGCTCCAAAGGGTTAAGGTGAGGTGAGGTGAAATTGGGTTTAACGTCGTGCTTGAGAATATTTCGCTCATATGACGACGTGCATGTGTGTGTATGTGTATGTGCGGCTGCTTGTACTAGCCCTGACTAGCTGGTTTTATAGTGCTAGCCGACTGAGATACCATGCCGCAGTGGAGCATGAATACCCCACTCAGACACATTAAACTGACTCCGAGCCGACCAGTCCTTGTTGTACCCATTAATGCCGAGCGCCAGGCAGACCCCAACAAGTACCATATTTTATGGTATGACGCGGTCGGGGATCGAACCCACGACCTTCCGCTCTCGGGGCGGACGCTCTAACCACTACACCACGGAGGCGGTCCCAAAGGGTTAAGATCGGGGTTCAGTCAATCGTGAGATATGTCAGGGGGTGCTGAACTAAGTTCTTTGCGTATATATATCGGTGGCTACACCACCAAAGGTACTGGTTCAACATATACCACATGCACGACGTGTACTTGGTAGAGCAACATATATAAACCACTCTTTTGACCGACACCAGTTGTTTCTCGTCACTGCTGTACCAGCATCAATGGAAGACTGAAAGAAGTTATATTCTTCACGTCAACCGTGTCTTCATTGTTGAATGTAGCAGTTCCTTAAACGTAATGGAAAATTAAAGTACCGTGTTACTGGTACGTCGTCACCATTGCTATGGGCCACTATATATCACACCCGCACCCGTTAAACGAACAACTGTAATCCAATCTAATCTAATTTAATCATTTGGTATAGGGCTGAAGGTTCCAGGTTGACTGTGCACTGGCGCTTACACATATTCATAGTATGTTGATGACGTTTCGGATAACTTGATGTTGTCTGGAAGAGCATTCCACATAGATGCTGCTGCGCATCTGAAACTGCGTTCACCCATAGCTGTTTTACAGTGAGGCTTTCGGAGAAGGTTCTTGTCTTGGGAACGCAGTGTCCGGCTTGGTGTGTGGGTCTGAACAAGGGCTTGAGATAAGAAGGAGCAGAGTCTGTCTTGACAGATGCGGAAAGTGTGGAATAAGATGTTGAACTTGATTCTGCTGGGGACTGGTATCCAGTGGACTTGTATGAGAACAGGACAGCTGTAGTTTGGAGGAGCTGAAGTTTATGAAGGAGTGTTGAGGATATAACGGGGAGTTAGAATATTCTAGTCTTGAGATGACCAGAGATTGAGCTAGCATTTTAGTTGAATATTGAGAAAGGTATCTGTGGCGTTTTCCAATCTGGTGGAGGTGGAAATGATCTGTTATGCAAACTGCTGCTCCTCGATTCATTATTGTCATGTTGGAGTCAGAAACAACGTCCAGATTCCCTACTTTTTTGCACGATGTTACTGGTGTATCTCCAATTCAGCATGTGATTTTAGAATCGGGTATCTTCTGTGCTTGTTGATGGGATCCAACAAGAAGAATATCAGTTTTCTCCTCGTTCAATTTTGAAAAGTTAATTTTCATCCGGCTGCAAACGTTATCAATGCATTTTCCAACTGCATGGGGCAAAACTGTATTTTGAGAGTTTCAGATGCTATCAACGTGTTCTGATCTGGATGATCTGTTATCGAATTTTCTATAGTTTAGAGTTTTATACTTTTGTATAATATATATATGTGGAGCTGGCTGTTGCTTCTTATCGCATATAACATCTCAAGTTATCAGAAGACCAGCATTGTATGTGATCATCATATACCCTACCTTGGCCTATGGTTACAAGTCTGATTACCGTTGCTGAGAGGTGAATATTACTGAGAGGTGTCTTTATTGCTATACACACTGCTCTTATATTACACTGAAACTGAATTCATACTGCCATAGTCATACCTTTGAATTAATACCCGTGAAAGTCCGGGTTAGATTTGATCTTCAGTAACCCATGCTTTTCGTAAGAGGCGACTAACAGGATCGGATGGTCAGGCTCGCTGCCTTGGTTGACACATGTCATCGGTTCCCATTTGCGTAGATCGATGTTCATGCTGTTGACCACTGGATTGTCAGGTCCAGACTCAATTATTTACAGACTGCTGCCATATAGCTGGAATATTGCTGAGTGCGGCGTAAAACAAAACTCACTCACTCACTCACCTTAGTATTGATTTGTGGACTTAGTCAATCTTAGAATACAATTAGGAGATAAACGTACTGTGTTTGGAAATTAGATGAATGTTAGACCGAATTGACAGTCTCTAAATTTCATTTGA